TACCAGGTTTTATCCTTTAACAATACTGAAGTAATATACTTAAGAAACTAAACTTCTACCTTCTGACATTAATGAAACAAATGAATAAATTATACAATCTTACTGTCAAGGAGCATTTTTTTAAAAAAAGCTGGGAACACAGTATCTACATTTTCTCATTTGTATTCCATATAATTCTAAATCCAGTGAAGTTTAAAAAATAAGCTTAAACTTTGTATATTTGTGCATCAATATTAGATGTGTGTTGCCATCCTCACAGTGGGCATTATCATCTAGGTCTAGGTTATGTCTATATATTTTAAGTTTTCAATCATACTTTACTTTTAAATTAACAACTTGTAAACCATTTGACCCCATAATGTTGACAAGTCTTAATTAAAAATAGTGACAAGAACAATGTACATCTTATGATGATGACAGCAGCATTCACAACTTAAATGTCAAAAAAGGGGCAACAACTCTTACCAAAACCAAGAGTATAAAAAATGTGCGTCTTAAGATGATAACCAGAATATGTAGCATATTTCACAGTCATACAAATGAGACCTATGTGGGCCCAAGATTGCTCACATCTACTTAACAGCCAAATGCTGAGCAGTTAATCTAGAAATCTTGGTCAACAGAAATCTTTCTGTACAAATCTGTTCAAACTTCTTTCATTATTTCTCAACTTTCAGTATCTTAATCTATATCTGAAAGCATGTCTACATCATTTTGAACACAAGCATTGCAGTTTGAACATTTACTGTTTAATTTTTTTTTACATGCCCTTTCCTGGATTCTGGAAATTTTTCTATTATTTGTAGCAGTTGTGTTCCCCCAAATTAAATTGCATTTGAATGTAACTGTTGTGAGAAAAAAAAAAGTAATTGTGATGTAATGGAATAGACCTTAATATTCTTTAAGAGTTGAAGGTTGAAGTTCATTTTCTTTGAAATATAATTTATTTGAAGAGACCAATTCAAGTTATTACCTACAAATATTCAAAGAATTCTACTCAAAACATCAGTTTTAGATCAGTGTTATCATAAACAACATGCAGCATATCAGTTTGCAATCTTGCTCTTTTCTCACATGTAGTTATCAACAAGACTTGTTTTATCTGTATTGAGGATCATACAATTTTCCTTGTACCATATCTTAAGTCTATTGAGATCAGTTTGAAGAATGTTTTTCTTCAATTTCACCCTGGTTACTCAGCATCAAAGTACATTAGCATACATGTCAGCTGATCAAGACTGCATCTCCTATTTTTAGGGAAAGGTCTTTTATGGACAAAACAAAATGACAAGGGTCCCAAGATAGAACATAGTGGCACTACACAACTTATCATGTAATGTTACCTGTTAAGACCTACTGCTCAAGTAGGATGTAAACCACTTAAGAGTACCTTCACTACCTTGATAAATTTTTAACTTTTCAAGAATTTCATTATCTATTTCATGAAAGCCTTTCAAAAATCAATCATTATAGTACCAACTAACTTTCCTTCATGGATGGCTTTCAGCCACTTCTCAGTCATAGAGATAAGTGCAGTTTCACAAAAATAATCTTTTTGGACACCAGATTTATTTTCATGAAGTAGATTGCAATTATTGATATTTCATAAAAGAACAGTGTACATGCTTACAAAACTTTCAAGTTTTAAAAGCTAATACTTGTTTGTATAAACTTTTCAAGCCATGATGTAGTTATGCCATATTGTCTAAAATTTTCTCAAGTGGGTTTTGAGATGATATGAAGAAGAAAAAAAACTGTTGACATGACACATGATACCTGAACAATGCTGGGTCATTCCAAAAGCTCACATGACTTAATAACCCGGCAAGTTAAAAACAAAATTTGCAAAGAACAAAAAATTCTAATCATTTGTGATCATGGAAAATCAAAATCAAACACAGAGTCATTTGACTGTTCCAACAAATATTTAGTCATTTTGATTAGTTTTTATTTTAAAAAAACCTGTATTCAAAACTTTTCCACAACACATCTTCATAATATGTTTAACAACGATCTACACCGTATAATTCAACTCGAGCTGTGAAATGTGCAGATCTAGATCACATAATATCCTAGCAAATTTGAGTCTAATATGTTAGTTTGTAATAGGTAATCATTAGAAGAAGCAACACAGACTCTCAATTTGCCAGCACATTATATTATGGAAGTTCAGAGACTTATGTTGTTACCAAATAGTTTAAACGTGTATGTAGTTATTAACCAGCAAAGTACTTTTTATAGTCAATTTTTATCCATTAAACCTGCTTCAATGCTTGTATGTCTTGTACAACCACATGACTTAAAATGACATTTTCTAAAATCCTGCAACCTAATTGCTATAAGAATAAGCCTGTTTGATTTTGGGGGTTTTTTTGGCACTGTCTTTATTCAAAAAAACAAAATCTTATTTTACCAAAGCTGTCACTTCTGTTTGAATGTAGTCATAAGCAACATCAATTTTCTTTCAGACCAATAATACCAATGAGATCAAAGTTTATAAGGAGTTCAAATACCTCATAAATATTATATACTTTAAAATGTATTTTGTATTCATAGTGTTTCTTTAGTGGATTATGAACCTATTGGACATCAATTCTTCATCATTGCTTACAAATTAAATACAGTTCTGTAAAGGTCAAATATCAAGCTTTTCTGCTAGCTGTAGATCAATAACCCAGCACAGATAAAAGATCCATGTTAACCACTGCACTACTCAATTTACTTCATAAATAAACCAACATCAATACAGCATAACTATTCAAGTGTTTGTCCAATTCTGAAAAAAAAAAATTAACATACATTTTTACAAGCACCAGTACGCATTACAGTTCGGGAAAACCAATATTAAAGTTAAACATTTTATAAACTATTTTGTAAGAGTTAGGCTGGTTATAAAACTGATCCTAGGTAGGTGTGTGTGTGTGTGTGTGTGTGTGTGTGTGTGTGTGTGTGTGTGTGTACTTTGTGATGTTATCTGGTTATCATCAGAATCTAACATGCCATTTAAGTTCCTGCAAGTTTGTTGAAGAATAATACTTAATGCTACATAACATGACCTAATATATGGTATTTATAAAACTGTATGAATCTCTTGCAGGTACTAACATTTGGGGTTTAAAAAATTTAACAATGTCAATAATTAATTGACAAGTGACTGACATATAGGACATATTTTTAAATCCATCAGCTAAAACATATATACATGAACATGAAAAAACCAAATGTATAATAACCAATGTTTTTGAAAAATTAAAGTCTTTTAAGAAATAATTATGTTGTATATTATTTTGTTTGTTTTTTTTTCTATGGATTAAGTACATACATTTCATCAAATATTGTTAAGTGATTACTGTTTTGGACCAGTGAAAAGTAAGGTGGAACTAGTGAAGAAAAAGGTGGGACTAGTGAATTTTCTGAAACTACTTGTCCTGGAATAGTGGTTAAAAAAATATATTTCTCAGCCCTGGCTGGAGACAAGAACAGTGTTGTTTGTGCAAACCATCAAGAGTACTGTAAAAAAAATAAACTATTGTCATTTTAAAAAAAGAAAACTATTTCTAATTAAATCCTTAATAGAAGAGAAAGTATAAAGCACTGAAACCATCTGATACTTTTCAGCCATAACAAGATTTTCAAATAAGCTGATACAATACACATATCTGATGTCAGTTTTGCACCATTTTTCTTTAGGATATAGTAACATCATCTGAAGCCCCTGGATGAAAACCCCATGTCATACTGTTCATCCATTCAGAGGTAGTAGTAACAACAAGCTTTTTGTTACAGTTGTCTGAAAGGGGGGGACACTAATAAAGTTACAATCCAGCCCACATCTGTCTTCAAGATCAGCTTGCACAATATGCAATAAATCATTTTTGTTTTCTTGCTCAGTTTTAGTCTTGCCACAAAACCTTATCTATAATACACAATTCCATCTCAGCCTCACAATAAATAACAAGTTTGCTGAACTAGATCAAATTATAAGCACCAGTAGAAATTAAACAGTTTTTGTGGCATGGTCTGCATTATAATCTTTAAAAAATTGAGGAGTAGGATGCTGATTATCTTGATTGAATCTAAGCATTTTCCAGTCACAGACCTCTTTTAATCAATGTCTTTGGTGCTCCAGGGTCAAGTTTTACTGCTCATGGTCACTAAACAATCATAATTATCATATTTCTAGGGACCATATCAAATAATATTTCTAGGGACCATTTCAAATAATTGTCCTTGTACCATAACTCCGAGAAGAAGGAAAAAAATCTAAAAAAGTAAATAAAAACTTGTGGAAATAAAATATTAAAACTTGTGCAACACACCAACTCAACATACTATTATTTCATTATTATCCTCTATGTTTCAAAAATTATACACACTGAAGAAGGCTACACAGCACATAATTTTATTTTCCCTTGCTGGGATCTTAGCCTTGAGGTAGAGGTTCTTGCTAGTTAAACAACAGATAGTTTAGTCATAGTGCCACATGAGCGAAGATTTATTAAAATTACCTCAATGATTTAAAGTTATACTTCAGCTGATATAACAAGTTATATAACTACATATTCATTTGCTGTAACCATTTCATTTAGGACAGACTTAACTTCATAAGCTATTTTTAGTGAAAACTCCATGCTGAATTGGCCATACATTTTGGAGACAGAACAAAAACGAGATTTTAAAGATGGACACTAGTAGTCAAATTGGGTTTGTGAGCACCACCATATTCATTTTGGACAATCTAGGCCATTGGAGAAATATATGTAATATGATTATGTATTTTTAACAAAGCTTTAACAATTTTTCAATCATATCCTACAATGTCTGCAGTGTGGCAATGTATAGTGATGTCATGCACTAAGGCATCATGCCCCAGACATGTAGCATGATGCCCTACCTAATCACATTATCCTGACACCAGGCCGACCAGTCCTAACACTAACCTCTTAATGCTAAGCATCACGAAAGGAAGCTGTTAGAACCATTTTTGTAAGTTTTTGGTATAACTCGACTGGGGATCGAACTCACAACCTCTTGCATCCAAGGCAGATGCTCTAACAACTAGGCCACCAGAGCAGTGGGTAGAATATATGTGTAAATATTTCATGGCAATTTTCTAAGTGGTATAGGAAGAGTAATGATAATGATAACAAACTTGTATTAACAGGTTGAAGAACAACAAGCAGATGATGGACAATGACAAAGAACCATCTCATAATCTCTTAAGATATATAACCAATAAAGTTAAAAATGGAATATCAAAGATCAAATGTTATGATATAAAGTAGATTACAGGAAAAGTTGACATTTAAATTGTTATCATAATTATAACCAGGAATGATAAAATCTACAGGCTCTGAATTTGTACTCAGATGGCAATTGGTGCTGCAACTTGAACCTCCTAAAATAAAGCCCCCTTTAAATCAAATACTGTACAAAGACCTTAAGTCCAAATAAATCTTATAAAGCCCCCATTAAATCAAATACTGTACAAAGACCTTAAGTCCAAATAAATCTTATTCTGCATCAGTTACTTCAGGTACAAAGTATTCTCTGGAAAGAAATATATCTGCTTTTCATATAATTTGAATAAACTGGCACCATATCTTTCTTACAAGATCAATATGTAAAATATTATTCCTGGGAACCAGCCATTGGGAGGCAATACAGTGTGCCAAGACCATACTGTGCTGCAAGACAAGCAGCTCATTGTGAGTATAGGAATCAATACCATTCCACTATGGTTTTTTGATCAAACAAGACCTAGCAATTTAGTACTAAAGATGGCTTCTCTACTTCCACAAGTAAACCTCATTCTTTTCTATAAACATTGATTCTCCATTTACTAAATATTTGTACCAATTGACCTGGCAATAAAACAAGTTAATTATACCAGAGTGGTTGTAGTAATGAACTAAAAGAAAGAGCTAAGATAAATGGTGTATGTGGGTGGGTGTGTCTAAGCATGTATGTATTTTAAGACACCTCAACACACAAGTGACTATGAATTGCCAACAAAAGGTTAAGTTCACTTGACACTGCCAGGGTTTCACTCCAGTCAAGATTTATACTTTACAAGATATACACAGTCAGGAGTATATGGGTCCAATACACACAATACCACATCTTTCTGAATTTGTTCTGTACAAGGGATGCCACTCTCCCCAATAATGGTTCTGATGTTTTCAAGTTTATTTGTGTAGCTTCATTCCACTTATTTTGTCAAGCATGGCAAACATGTTGATTTATAAATTAATTTTAGGTCAGTAAATGTACTGTTCCATTAGGAAATGGGTTACTTCAGGGCAGCTTGTCTGCTTTATCTGCCCTTTCATCACCCTTTAAAGTTTTAAAGGGCTCTTGTTGCAAAGTCAATTATTTACTCTTAAGAAAACAATTCCATTATGTAGTATAGAATTTATTCTCTCCATCCTATTGTTTCTATGATCTATAATTACTAGTAAATTCCTTCATTTTCATTTGTATCAATATGTGATAATTATGGGAAAATATATACATTTCTTACTACATATATTTGAGATTGGAAAAAGTGTCCTATTGTTTCCTTGAAAGAATCATTGTTGGATTTTAAATACATGGTTTGTAGCAACCATAAAATCTGCAAATATTAGAGATATTAATTTGATGCATTTCAGGTTAGTAAAATATTCTGGTTTGGTTTGATTTGGTGGTTTTTTGCCACAGCATCACAAGTAGACTATTTTGTCATGTGACAAGCGGAGTAAAATGATTTGCCTATGGACATGGTATCTAACCCAGGCTAGTCTGATGATTAAATTCAAACCCACACCCTTCTGGTCACGATTCCAGCACACTAATGAGTGAGCCACAACTCTTCAAAACATTTTGGAAACCCATTTGTGAAAATAGTTGTCTTCATTCAATATTACAGATTTATAAACTTGGATTTGTCTTCTAACAAAATTTAGTTTAACAATGTTTGAATATATATGTGGTAATTTATGTGGAAAATATGGATAAAGTACTACTGTAAAATGCTCTGTCAATGGGTGAAAATTGATTTAAGACATACATATCTCCAGAATGCAATATTGATTTTAAATCAATAATGTCATATTTCCATGAGACCACAATTGTTTAATCAACAAATCATACTGTTGCTGTTTGTTGATTCATCATGGAGAATGGATTTTCCACACATTAATTATAGTGATTGAATCTTCCTAAACTGAAATAGCAAAACAAACCTCTCAGGGCAATATGGAGTGGCTGGTACCTTAAGGCATCTGTTGTGGTATGATAAAAACAATTTTTAAAAAAATGGTTAGAAAAATCAAACAATCAAGCATCTGATTAGGATTTTCCTTAATAGAATTTGAAATGATTTTTGTTTCTTTCCTTTATTAAATTGATAAGCTTTTGGAGGATAAAACCATATATAATCTATGTAGCTAATGATGACAGAATCATCAATCTTTACATTAAAAAAATTTCCAGCATTAGGCATCTGCAAATTACAAGTGCACAGCATTGTATTGGTCTCACATTCTACTTCTTTGACAAATCAAATTGATAATACACAATAGATAAAATGAAAACAAAAACAAAAGTTAACATATGACCCCTACTTTTGCAGTGTGAAAGAAAGACTTGTACCCATTATCAGGTGTGGAAACAGAAATTTCCCTATTTAGGTCTGATTCTGAGCATACATGATTTCAACTGAAAAGGGACAGAGATTCAATTGATGCCACCACCTTCCTCTCTTAATAATTTACCTCATACAATTTACCTCATACAAGCGCCTTTTGGTGCTCTACCACATTCGCATACAGGCACCTTTTGGCATTCTACCCGATTCCCATACAAGCGCCTTTTGGCAACTCTGTAAGTAGCAGCCATTTTGAGCTAGTTTTCCTAGTGCCCCTTATTAGATAATACATTCACTGGTGAAAATGATCATTAGGTCAGATCACATGGTCACTGTTCTGTATGGTTGAAATCTGCTATTTAACATAAGTAGGTCCTAACTGTGGTATTCTCCATTCAACAAAATGGTGGTCTGATATTGTTCAGTACTTGCTGAATAGAATCACAGCTATGAAAGCTTCAATAATATAAGTAAAGACTCTGATACTGATGTAGAAAGCCATTAGCTTTTATAAGTTATCAAATTCAGCTGATTTAGTTATGTAGACGCAAAGAACTTGTAAATTTCAAGTTATGTGAAATTGCCACTTCAGTTGATCATGTGGCTTCACTGACTTTTATAGTGAACAAGTTCTATCAAGATTTTAAAGCACATACAAAATTTTGTGAATAATAACTATACAGCTATAACGACCATATTTTACTCTTAAATCTTTCCATACATATCAGTACCAAAAACATAAAATGGTTAAAATTGCTGTTAAACATAACATACACTTTCCTGCTTAACAGGCCTATGTGTAGCGATCAAAGGGCTAAAAAGCCATACACTATGAGGGAAAGGGTTAGTCAGCTGTCTTCCTGCTCTGAAGATTCCTTTACTATAATTACCTTTCCGAGATCAGAATTGCAAATTTAGGACTACTTGATTTCCATCCTCGTAATGAAAGACAAACAACTACATAATTATTTAAATGTTTAAATGTACCTGGCCCATTGTAAACAGACTATTGTGATGATTTAAAAAATATATGCAACTTATAAATACTGCTTGATAAAATGTATTCACAGTCATCACAATTTAATCTCTTTTAAACAGTAAAGTATTTTTTAATCTAGATGTGACCAAAAAAAATCTATTGTTCGAGGACACACCTTAGCTTTTCACAGAAGAATGTAAATAAGTAAAATTTTTCCCATCCACATTTTCCATTCAAGAACTGAAATAAATTAGTGTTCTGTAAAGCAGTATGAAATAAGCCAACCATAAATAATTGAATATATATCAACATCCATTGCTGTGTGTTTTGAGAAAGTTATCCTGTTATTATTTCATTCCAAACTCTATGATTAGGTTTAAATTGCACCTGATGGATTCATTCAAGCCCACAATTCTTATCTTAATTTAACTGAAGCATCACCACCACTTTAATATAATCAGGGTCTCTTTTGGCATCAAGGACAAAAAAGTGAAATCATCACTATCTTATGACTTTTTTTCCTTTCCTAATATGCAACAGATACTTCCCAAACAAGGTACAGTTTCATGTTCTTTACACATACTGAACACTAAAAACTGTAGGACTGAAGGAACATGAGGCTGAAAATTCAATTCTTGAGTTAGATATGGCTGCTTTTAAAAATGAATAAAGAATTTCCATTAATGAAGCATGGTAGTGTACATGTCATTTGGTCAACATAATGGACATACTGAATGTCAAATTTGCACCATCTTAATTTAAGATCAACAAAACAATATAAGAAGTTTTACGGTAAAACTCTGAAGTTGAAGCATCTTTCCATTTTTGGAAAAATAATAAGATTTTCAAGATGGCTACCAAAGTGGCTGTATTAGGTATCAGATTTGCCACATTTACACTCAGGACCAAGTAGATATAATAAGTCTTCTAGGGTCAACTTCCAGGAAAAATGGGTGATTAAATAATGAGAAAAAGAAATGTATACTTCACCTGTTAGGGAAGCAAAAGTGAAATGGGTGACTAAGTATTGACAAAAATGTAAACTTCACTTTTATTAGGGAAGAAAAATAATTTTCTTAGTACTGGATATATTAGAAAATCACAATTTTGCTTCTGAGTGTGCTACAAAAATTTCATCCTCACTCATGTTTTAAAGAATCATACAAAGAAAACTTTATATGAAAATCAACATTAACTTTGATGTTAAATGTATTAAAATTATAAAGAAAATATTGGGGAAATATCATAAGTCAATGCTAGGCAAATTGAACTCAATACCTGCAGCCTATTCAGACACAATGAGAGACTCAAGAGTGATTATTTTGCCGTAACACACTCTAGAGTGGACCATGAGCTTCTAAATTAAAGTAACATTTAAGACTCAACTACCAATTTGTGTAAATTACAAGTGTATACAAATTTTTTAAAATTCCCTATTCTGACCCCTTTACACAAAAAAATTCCC